AGAAACCCACAGAGAATCATGGTTATGTATCTGCAAGACACTGCAAACATCTGTAAAGATAAGCCAACTGCCAAGGACCCAAAGTGCAATTGTGCAACTATGTGCATACATGTCTGTTGTAACTTAAAAATTGGGATCCTTTTGGAGGATCTGTCATAACTTCAAATGATCACTAAGTGGTTAGCCATAAGTTGAGGATTCCCTGTATAGCAAAGACATCCATCTTCCTTGACCCTAACTTGCCTTCTGGAGCCTCTTTGCTTTCTGCTTTTTTTGATCATCCCAATCACTTATTTCACTGATAAAGTTACTTGGACAAGTAACAAAATGTCTCAGATTAACAAATCTGAAGGAATCTTTGAAAGAAGGGTGTGAATTGGGGGAAGTTGCCATAGATACCCCATAAAAAAGAAACAATTGGACCCCTGAACACAATATAAACTCTACTCTTAATACTTGGGTACAGCATTGCAACATGTATGAAAGGATTGACCTTGCATTGTGGTATCACAATGCACAGTTCATCATGTTGGTATCATTGTGGCTATCTGTGGATGATTACATAGGGTGTTATAGGAGATATACCATTTCTAGAAAGGATAAAAATGGTTTGCATTTCTGGGGAGCTCCAACCAGCTTTGAGAGTTTAGGAAAGGTCAATGGTTCATAGCAATAATTTTGGCAGACTTCCTTTAGAGAAAGGTAGATGTTGTGCAAAATAATAAGTGTAAGTTAATGCATATAATGTATGTGGTCTTCCTACCCAAATGCATGTGGTCTTCCTGTCTTTTAATCCTATGTGTCTTGTTATTCTAACAGAATAACGGAATTGGAAGGGTTCTTGGAGGTCTTCTAGTTGAAACCCCTGTTCGAACAGGAGACCCTATACTATTTCAGACAAATGGTTGTCTAATCTCTTCTAAACACCTCTGATGTTGGAGCACCCATGATCTCTTCTACTGATTAATTGTTCTCTGTCAGGAAATTTCTCCTTAGTTCTAGATTGCTTAGTTTCCATCTGTTGCTTCTTGTCTGGCCTTCAGGTGCTTTGGAAAATAGGATGACCCCCTCTTCTATGTGGCAGCCCCTCAAATATTGGAAAGCTGCTATCATGTCTCTCCTAGTCTTTCTTTTCACTGGACTGGACATACCCAATTCCCTTAACTAGTCTTCAAATGTTTTAGCTTATGGTCTCTGAGTTTCCAGCCTGGTGTCTTAACCAGTACGCCAAATTACCTCTCACGTGCTATGCTAGCTTTAGCATTTGTTTTATTCTATTGTTTTACTACTTATTTGTTGTGCTTTATTATTGAAGGTTAACCATTTTTATTTTGCTAGTTTGGCATCACCCTAGAACAGTTACATGGAACGTGATCCAGAATATATATATAATATTAATACTTATAATAATAATGGATACATTTAGGGATGTAAAATAATGTTGCCCCACATTTCCATGGAAACAGATTTGGAAGTGACAGTCTCCAAGGTATCTAGGATGGGACAAATCCTGCCCCAAAGTCTGGTTGGTATTTTTCCTTGGCCCAGTAAGAAAACAAATCTACTGAGTAGTTTATTACTTTTGTTTGTTTTGAATGCTTTCTTAAAAATGTATGCTGTGACCAAGGGACCTCATTTCAGTTTTGTTGAACCTTTATGAGTATTTACAACACCAGCAGGCCAAGATTATTTTCCACAGTGCTGCCTGGAAAGACACATTTCAGAGGAATTCCCAGGAGCTCCAAAGATGAAGAAAAGACTAGCAGAATCTGTGATGCTGTTGTAAGCAATTTTGATTTTTTTAAAAACAAAGGAAGAGATTCATTGTAAACAGTCAAGGAAACTTCTTCATGGAAACAGGTGCTCTGCAAAGTACCAACACCTTGAAAACTCGAGCTGTTTCTTCACTTAGACATTGTAGGAGAATGATCATTGTAGGTATATATTAGGAAACTGATAGCATCACTTCTGGCAAACAAATTTTATTAAAAGGCACCAGTTTTTGTGAGCTTCAGCTGAAGCCAAAATAGTTTATAAAAGATTAAGCATTGGGACAAAACTCGTTAATCTGAATGAAATGCTACTGGAATCCTTCTGGTTCTTCACTTACAAGTACTGAAGCCAAGAGCAATCCATGAGGGATGTCAGTATTTCAGATCCTTCAGTGAGCTACAGTGAGGATTGACCGGTCCCTCATGGTTCAATTCTAAGAATCTTAAAGGTCCTGATGCTCACTTGTTGCGTTGTGTTGCCCGTCCTTGAACACAAGTTCACTTTTCAAGTTAAAAACTGGTGCTTCTTAAAATAGTTACGGGCTGAGTAACTCCTAGACTTTCCCTGTTGGTTGTCTTTCTGATGAAGAATCAGTGAGCATAAGACTTTTCCTTGCTCTGCATTGGTGGAGAAGAAAACAATTTACAAAGAAAATAACCCCTTTCCTTCTGCAAATTATCCTGACTGTGACAGTCCAGGTGCTTGCTATTCTAAGCCAGAATATAAAGGAACTTCAAGTCAAACTTTCCAGATTATTAAACAGGTAGAATGAGACCATATGCTTATTTTGAAAGATGGATAGTACATGCAGAATGAAGAATTAAACAACCTTTCTTTCGTGGGATGGGTGGTACTTCTTGAACTTTTAGTTGGATGCATCTTCTAGCAGTGGCAGATAATTTCTTATGGAGAGGTTATTATTTTTGCTTTCTCATCATCATCTAATTTGGATTCATGATTATGCCAAACTACCAAGCCCCATGGCCATGTGGGTCCCCCGAGAGACTTCATCTCTTTCAAAGTACCTTCTATAAATCTTTTTTGTTATGTGTGCTGGATAAATTCCATGTAAAAATCAGTAAACAATACCCTGATCAAGCAACAACCAACTCAAATGAACAGTAAACAGCAGCCTAATGAAGGAACTACCAAGAAAAACAAAAACAAAACTCCCACTGAAACAGGGCAAGCCACTTTTTTTATAAACAAAAAGCAAATCTCATTCCCTTCTAGTGGGATTTGATATTACCAACTTGGGTAATGAAATATCTGCAAGAAAACAACCAAGCCCAGAGAGCACCAAGAACCACAATTCCAATATTGACTTGGAAGGATATGTGGATCAGAAATTAGTTACTGTTTTTTAAACATCCCAAATGTTTCATCAAAATTTCAAACTAAAAAAAAAAGTGGTGAAGGAATGGATATGTAGACATAGATTTTCCACAAATGTGTTTAAACAAGGAAAAAAAAACCTATTCATTTGTGCAGTAATTTTATAGGAGTTTGATTACCTATAAACAAGTGTTTTTCAACCTTTGCAATTTTAAGATGCATGGATTTCAGTTCTCAGAATTTCCCAACCATGGTTGGAATGGAGAACTTGGTAGAATATCAGTTAGTTGGTTTTTGACTCCCTGGGTACTCTTTCTTTCAGAGATTGGAAAATTGAAAGATAGTTCTTGCAATGAGTAACAACTGCTATGGAGAGATATTTCCATTAAAAAAAAACCTACAAATCTACAGCTGAGATTCATGGTGGTGCTGTGGGTAGAATGCAGTATTACAGGTAAATCTCTATCCACAGCCTGGAGTTGGATCCTGAGGGGGTTCAAGGTTGACTCAGCTTTCCACCCTTCCAAGGTTGGTAAAATGAGGACTCAGATTGTTGGGGGTCAAGATGCTGACTCTGTAAACTGCTCAGAGAATGCTGTAAAGTACTATTGGGCAATATATAAGTGCTGTTGTATTAAAAGTAGATGTTGCACATCCTGAAAGAAGGGTGTGAGAGAATTTGGAACCAGTTGCATGAGCAACTTTTCATGTTTTTCTAACCTTCTGAAAATGCCTTTGGCTGGCTGACTTTGTAACCATCATTTGCTCAGGTGGAA